ATATATATACACACACTTAAAATTAACCTTAACATTACTTTATAATTGAGGTATGATAATTGGGAAGTAGATATAGTGGTATTAATATTCGAATATGTCGAAGCGGTGAGAAGAATGAGTCATTGGAATTTTCCTGTTTCCACTATGTTGCCAACACATCAACACAGAGTTTAAAGAAACTTACAAAAAATGATATTGTTTAAAAATATTAACATGTATGTTTCATGCAAAACCATACTGCGATAAAAGCGGATGAAAAGCAACAAATTGACCAAATTTACCATATAAAGTTAGAGATTCTATACAAGTTATGATAATAATAATGATAGAATCTATACTCCGCGCAATCATAAAAGATCGTAAGGTAAGCCATGAAATACGACCTTACTTGGTTTATGTGTCCACATGGTCATTAAAATCTTGGGCATTCCTTTGGGCATGATTTGCTAACTCTGGAACTTTGCCCACACACAAATGTGCACATCGTCTATTTTCGGTACACACATACGCAGGAGACAGTTCACATCCGGTGGTAATTTGCTTTTTCATCCCTTTTTCGAGCATATATATATACGGAGTCTAGACAAACTTACAGCGAAAGAGAAAAGTTAAAGTATCAAGAATAAAGGAAAGAGATAATTTTCGCACGGCTACTTGGAAGAGACGCGTCACGTCGGTACGGCTCGACGAGAGCGCCATTTGGGACCTCCAAGTACCGAAATAACACAGCAGCGAGGTCCTTGCTCCATATATTTACATAATCCGCCGAGACAATCTCGCGGCTACATCGTCGCCGATATTACACGTATAGTATTGAGAAAAAAAATTTTTTTTTTGTTTTTGCACATCAATTGTGTAGAGTGTACGTTTAACATTCAACATTTTGCAACGATTTTTTCACTTTTGTTTATGAAATTTATGACGAAAATTTCTGTATACTTTAATTTGTCATTAATTACTTGTAAAATTTATGCATTTAGACTTGGTGTATATATATTGAGCACAGATTGTACGATTTGAATACATTCGATAAAACAACGTTAAAAACTAATAACGGAAATGGTTGAAACAAACTCTGCGTTGTCACGTTCAATTTTTTTTTACAACACAGTGTAAATACTTCTCACTAGAGTTGACTACACCATAATAGCAAGAAAAAAAATTTTGTTTTACAACAATTGATAACACATATTTTTGTTACACCAATGTAAAAGTAGCAGTTTAATCCGATGGTGTTTCCATAGCCATCAGTGCATTTCATCACTTGTACATTCATATGAATTTATTCAATTAAATTTAAAGATTCAATTTTTTCAAGGTTTGGCCATATAACAAACGATTTTTTGATATTTCAGTGGAGTCCTCATAATTTATGGATCGTCAAATGTCTTTGTTTTTTAAGAAAATAACAAAGTTAATGCAGTTTATTTATTCTGCTATTTGCAATTGACACTATCAATAAGGTAAGCACTAACTTTTCAAATTAACACCACCCAACCTTTATTTCCTTTTCACACTTTATACTCTAGCTCAGTTGCCTGAACAATTTCGAAATTTTTCTTGGTTGGATTTGAGTCCAGGACTACAGTAATTGAAAATCGAAAGAATCATGATTATTTAAAAAATATACTCTGTTTGGGTATTGGAATTGCAATTGATGCGATCGTCTTGAGCATAATAAACCCTGAGTTAACTGGGCTGTGGGAGTTCGTTAGGACCGAGAAGACCAGAAATCCGTCAGAATTTGATCACAGCGGGTATAACCCAAACACACTTTTCGGAGTCTCGACGTTTGACTAATAATTCTTTACAGAATACATGAATAAATCGTGGTACAAATCAAAGTGGAGGAGATAAATTCATCATCAATCGAATCAGGTCCAACCTCTGCCATCCGATCGCGTATTTACACGATGTCAGCCTTGTTAATGATCTTAAATGCCACAGTGGACGCAAACGAGAATATATTTATCACATCGTTTCGTATAATGTGATTAATGTCTAATACGGCTTCCATGACCTCCCTCAACTACTATTTTTTTCTCATCTGAAATTATTGCCTACTCTAAACGCAGAAAGTATTTCAGCCCAACTTTGAATTTCTGTTTCCATGTGATTTAAATAAGGAAAAAGTAAACTAATAGCATATATTACGGTTACAATGAACGGTGTGCAAGACGTGGAAAAAAAATCTCTAAAGTTGAAAAAGTTATACACATGAGTCGGTCTGTAAAAGATAAACGTGTCGTAAAATTATTGTTTCTTTCATACAAAAGATTAGAAAGAATGAATTCATATTGGATCTAATCGGTAAAAAAAGCGTTGGGGTTTTTTTTTTGAATCAAGCAGGTTAGACGAATGGTTAAAAATAATATGTTGGAAACGTAATTATAAACTAGGTGAAAAACCCAGACTTTAAAATGATGTTGGAAGCAAATAGTTCAGAAGCTTACTCATTCCAACACATCGCACTTTTAGATGATGGCTTGAGAAGCCAGTGTATATTTAATTATTAAAGTACAAATAGTATTCGTTGATTTACAAAAAGAACTGAACATTGAATGCTAATGAATCAAGATATTTGTTTACCCTGATATTTCTACAAAGTATTCATGTTATAAAAATTGTAGAAAATTGTAGTAAATATATTTGTATTCGATGCATTACATTTTATAATTAAATCCTATGTTTACCACCATACATACTTAGGACGATAAAAACTGATGACATTTTTGTGTAGGGCATTTTCTAAATTATACAAAATTAAAATTCACATGTTTAAACGTGTATTTAATTTTATGGCCCATTTATGAAGTAACTTCAAACGGTAAGTAAAAATAGTTTTGCCATATAATTTTTTTTTTTTTTTTTTTTTTTTTTTTTCCCCCCAAAAACTTAAAAAAAAAAAAAAAAAAAAACATCTACGCCCTGGCTACAGACAGAGTATGCACGTTGTGTTATCTTACACTCGTGAGTATAGCATCAAATGTAGGTCGAGGGAGAAGTTGCGTTAGGTCAGTTTTCGAGCTACCAAACCAAGAGGCAAAAGTATATTGCAGAGTGCGAGACGGTTATCGATTGGTGTGTCAATGAACTCCTGAATTTTCTTTGCTTCCTGATACATTTTTATCTTCCCGTTTTATTTGAAAAATATTGAAATATTATCAATAAATGTACGTTGAGTAGAAAAAAGAGTAATAAAATTCGATACAACTAACGATTCAATGTAAGAACCAAAACTCAATGAGCACTTGTGTTCATATTACAAAAAAACCAATGTTTCATGCAAAAACTTGAGCTAATCTCCCTCTCCTTTACAGAACGAATAAAGGACCTCGTATTTCGAGCCAAAAGCAGTTTAAAGAGCAAAAAAAAATTGTCTGAACTTACGTGTCGCCCTCGTTATCCTGGCGATAGAAGAATTCGTAGGTCAGTTTGAGCGAATCATCGCACGCAAGCCCTGCCTCCGCGCAGCTTCTTCGCGAAGCTCCCGAATCGCAGCAACAGCCAGCGTCCACGTCTTGCCGATCGTGGCCCTTCGTCGAGCTGCCCCCGCTGTTGGCCGACGAGAAGCCCGAGTCTGCCTCCTTCCCCGTAGGTTCTGCTCCATCCTTGATCAGCATGTCGCCAGCTTGTACGACTTCACTCCAAAACGATCACCGGCCAAAGTTGTCTCGGGTGTGAAGCATTCCTCGAAAAAGCTCCCAGGAACCGCGATCGCTCGCTTGGGACTGAGAAGGGATGGACAAGTGTCATATATATATATATTGTACACCGGAGCGGCTTGTCTCTGCCGAGCAGATGTCACTCGATGTCTCGGCAACACCGAGCCGACTGAGCGTTTTTTCAGAGCCACGAGACTCGGGGCGCGCGCCTTCTTTCTTTCATTTTTCCCTCCCTCTTCTTTTCTCTCTCTCTCTCTCTCTCTCTCTCTTTGGTACCGATTGATGCGTGTGTATATACAACGTATAAGCTGCGGCGACGGCGATGATGATGCCGTTCTGCCGACCAAGCGGGCGAGAAAGCGGGTCCCCTTGCCCCTTCTAACTTTCTCCCCTTCCTTCCGAGTGAGAGAGGGTCCTGATTGCAAGCTCTTCGATCGTACATAGAAAAGCACACACGCACGGATATATCAAAAGTTACTCGGCCCGTTCCCCCCCCCCTCCTTCGCTTTTTATGGGTTTCTCGAGCTATAGGGTCGTAAAATTTAGTAGCTCGGGGATTCCCAAAGCTCTCCGGGGGAAGTATTGACCTTCGGGGCTTGGGGTGGATTTTTTTTTTTCTATCCTCTACTTTGGTTTTAACGCCGGTCCGTACCGTTGAAATTGTCAATAGCTCTCAATGATTTAACGCTCCTTTTTTACGTTTATCTGTATATTTTTTTATCCAAGCGTCGCGTGGGTGGAACATTAGATCGATCAATCAGATTGAAGTAGGGGTGTATGGTGTGCTTGTTGGTATGATTTGAGTGACTAATTAGGAGCCATCGAAACGAGTCTTTGTTTTGAAAAAATAAAAATATATATACATTCTTATCTGGGTTTTTTGATGTTAGTTTACTTGGGAATTCTGAATAACGAGATACTCGTCGTCTATTGTGTTTTTCTTATATCTTAACAAAAATACTTTCACGTATCTAATGGACTACTGTTCTCTCGGTTTGGCCTCTATTTGGACAATACGACTAGCATTTATATAATTTAACGACGTTTTGATAAATTATTAACACGAATTTCGATCGATACACCAATTCGTTTTATACATGTTTACGTAAGAATTATAGTTTTGTTTTTCCCGTTGCAGACGAGGGGAACAAGAGGACAAAGGGAAAACAGAAAATTCCAAACACACAAACACGTTTATTTATATGATCACGTACATTATATTTTATTGTATGGACGAACGAGTGTATACGAAACACCATTCGTTTGTAAAATAGTTTAAACTATTGAAAAAGTTCTAAAAATCTCGGAGAATGCACTGATTTGTTGAATAAATAGTTTTTTTTTAATCTAATATTTTTCAGTAATAATATTCTTATGAATTATAATGATTTTTAAATTTAAATAATTAATTATTTACTAATGATCATACCAACTTCCAAATTAATTTTAATTTTAAAATCTCGATTCATTGGACCCTTAAATTCCTCAGTCATGTTGTCCTTTTTAATCCAATGGCTAATCAATGGATTGAGAAAAATTTGTGCCAAATTAATTATGAATTGGAGGGTGGAAACACGGGCAAATCAGAAATGGGTAAAAATTATGGATTGACTTGATTTTGATTAACCTTAACGAAATTATAAAAAACTACATTGGCTTAAGAAAATAATGTACAAAACTTTTTATAAAAACAAAGAGAGAAAAATCCTGACCTTTTCGAGCTACGCATATATTACTGGCCTTCAAATCGTGATGACATTTTAATTATTTTAATAGCTTGATTTTACATCACAATTATCCGGGGGTTTTTTTTTTCTATCGGACAAACTTCACTAATCGTCATCCAACAAGCTTATCGTAACACTTTTTCAAACACCGCCATATTTACCATGTGACGTATCATAAATAAACTATTCACTACTTTAGTTGCATTATCTTCAAATACAAACAATGAATGCCAGTTGAGTTTGTTAAAATTTCGGCCAAGAAAGAATTTATCGAAAGAAAAGTATTGTACGAGCCGTAATAACAACATATTATATACAATGCCCAATAAATCACAGTTTGAGATTTTCTACTTGGAAGCGTTGACTCCTCGTCTGATTCAATGGTTTCGACATCGCCCCTGTGGATTTCATTAATCGTTCGTTGTCCTCATCCCAAGTTTTGCATAAAAATTGCCGCCTGAATATTGCCAGTGTATACAGGTAATACTATAGCCTACGCCATTGTGCCTTAAATTACGAATCAACCTCAAAGTGCCAAATGGTTGTGTATAGGCATTATCGGTTAATTTGAATAGTAAATGGTTTTTCCCGCCCACACTATTGTACAAAGTCACGGGTAATTTGCGAGGTCCCGACGACGATTGTTATCGAGTAAACGATTGAAAAATATATCGAGCTCAAGGATTCGTCAAAGCGGTCACGCGGTCAGATACGATCGAGTATACAATAGAGTGTACGAGCTTTGCACTTTTTAACTCGCATTGTTTTCGTGATTTTTGTTTGTTTGTTTGTTTGCTTATTTTAATAACATGTGCGCATGTCAGCTATACAAAAAATGCTGTTTTAAAGTTTCGAGGGGTAAAAATGCAAGTGATTTATCGCAAAGATAATCTTCACGTGGTTTTTCCCAAACGAATCTGCGGCGGACGGTATTGCTAGTCAAGACGACGGGAACTTTTTCGAGACTCGCTTGCGTAGGTTTAGATAAGAAATACCTACGCACGAGAGTAGCGCCGACAAGGTAACAGAGATGGGAGGATCGAGCGTTTTGTCTGTGCGCACGTGTGTCCGTTTGAAATTAGTCCGGTACCGCGTTGACGGGAAATTTTAAATAATAGATCAACCAAACTCTTTCTTTTCTAATCAGCATAATTTTTTTCGTCATCGCGAAATTTACGTCCGTGGATGAGACGAGACCGAGATTCTCGGTGCAAACAGAATCGGCATTTTGGTCCAAGCGTCATTCGATTTGTTAATAAAAATAAAAAAGCTATGTTTACGCGGTATTCTAATTTAATTTGTCAGATAGCGTCTAAATCGGGTAAACAAGTCGTCATTCATTTTCTTAATTTTTAAAAATAACTGAATCTTTCCTTAAGTCGTTTTTTGTTTGTTTGTTTGTTTTTTTTTTCTTTTGGTATTTAAAAATTTTATAATGGAGGAACAAACATAAAAAAAAAAAAATTAAAAAAAATCAGCCAAAGAGCGCAAATGTTTCATGAGAATTTGGTTTTTTTGCTGTTCCTGAAAATCTATTTGTAAGACGTGTTAACCGATGAGAAAGGGGAAATACGCTTTTGGAGGTAAAAAGTGGGTCATGAAAGGAATTAAAAATTGGTTATGGTCTTTTTATCCTCAAAAACAATTTACGTAATAGTATTGATTATTTCTGTCGAATCCCCCGAGCACACACGTTTCCTCCCGGCATCTCTGCGCTTCCAATGCACCATTGGTGATTAAATGTTATACAAATGAAAAACTGTATTATCCCGAGCCGGAACGGTTTTTTTCAATCATTGTATATGATTACGTAAATACTGCCACAAACTTTGTCAGATGTTGGGTGTTCTGGAACAAGCGGTAATTACGATTTTTTGTTGTCATCTGTATATCGTTAAAACGACGAATGTTTCGGTGTACCCACGGGCGTGTCATCACAACACGTTGAGTATGTTTTAAAAATTACGCGCAGATTTTTTTTTAACAACGGTATAGGTAGGTCGGTGGGGGGAGATATGCGCGATAAGTTGCTTAATCGGCGCACGCCGTGTTATTCCCGGGAGAAACAGAAATAGTTTCGATGAGTTATATTTTTCGTATAATTATTTACCAAAACAACAGCGTTATGTGACACGTTAGATATCATTGTACAAACCTGTCAAAACACCTTGGAACATTTCAGTTTTGTTTTTTTCTCTCACCATAATACAAAATAAATTTATTTTCAAGTTCATTGCCACTTATTTTAGCTCCGAAGAAAACGTAGTTTGATCAAATGAACTTTAACACACGAGTTAAATAACAAATTTGTTTTTATTAAAAATGATACTTGTGTAAAAATTGCGTACCGATACATTTTGATTTACACAGTAAACTGTGTTTTATACAATAATTGATCACGTAGAAAAACAGTTTCAAATATATATATATATATATATTGATTAACGAGTCCT